AATATACACAGTAAAAGTCAAATTAATGAAAAAAATTCATTTTCCATACTATGACATCCATCTGGATGGACAATCCATTGAATTAGGCCATTAGTACACGGATAGCACCTAGGACAGGCACTGAAGACTGCCAATGAGCTTGGCCTAGAATTGTTGTCATTCAGTTATTTCAGTCTCGTCCTACTCTTCGTGACCCCATTTGGGGTTTTCTTAGTAAAGACACTAGGGTGGTTTTGCCATTTCCTTCTCCAGCTCATTTTACAGATGAGGAACTGAGGCAAACAGGGTTAAGTGACTTGCCCAAGGTCACACAGCTAGTAAGTGTCTGAGGATAGCTTTGAACTCAAGAAGATGAGGCTTTCTGAGTCCAAGCCTGGCACTCTCTCCACTGTGCCACCTAGCTGCCATGGCCTAGAATTAAACTGGAGGAAAAAGAAAAAGCTAGATTGTCTTTGGGCAACTGTTTTGTGCACTCAGTGATCTCAAGCTGCCTCCTGACATGAGGTCCGTTTTTCTTAACAACAGAACTGTTTCAATGATGCTGTGTGTTTGTAAATCTTGGAACATCACGATCTCCAAAGAATCCAAACTGCAGGGCTATGGAGAGATGCATGGTGGGCACAAGTAGGAGTAAGTTTCTTACTAATCATGATGTGCACACAAGAAGAGCGGTTAAAGACACCATTAAGGATAGTCACTTTATCAATGGCCAGAGAAGGAGGTAAGAGAGAACAAGAGATAACAGAGTGATAGCCCAAGTGCCACCCTGTCCTTGTAAGATGCTGAAAGGCCTCCAGAATGATAGGCTTCTAGACGCTCTAAGGAGGAGTCATGGTAAGCTATGGCCAACAATCACAGGATGAAAATGTGTGAGAAAGGCTAATATAGGGTTAATAAAGGTGAGTACAGATTCAGGGCTAGAAGGGACCGTAGAAGGTCAGTCCAATTTTCTCATTTTACAAATGAGGAAATGGAGGGACAGACAGGGTAAGTGACTTGCTTGGGGTCTCCAGCTCATAAACGTCTGAAGTAGGATTTTTTGTTTTATTTTGTTTTTTGGCTAGGCAATGAGGTTAAATGACTTGCCCAGGGTCACACAGCTAGTAAGCATCTGAGTGTCTGAGACCGGATTTGAACTCAGGTCCTTCTGACTCCAGGGCCTGTACTCTATCCACTGTGCCACCTAGCTGCCGCTGAAGTAGGATTTTAAACTCAGATCTTCCTGACTCCAAGTCCAGAGGTCTGCCCATATTGATGAGATCACATATCCATCTAAACAGACTTTTTTTTGGGGGTGAGGCAGTTGGGGTTAAGTGACTTGCCCAGGGTCACACAGATAGTGTCAAGTGTCGGAGGTCACATTTGAATTCAGGTCCTCCTGACTCCAGGGCTAGTGTCCTATCCACGATGCCACCTAGTGCCCCTAAACAGACTTATTTGAAAATCTCTTTACCTTCAAGTATTGAAGGATACATATGATGATAATATTGAGAGAAATTATTATTTTCTCTTACATTAATAACCCATTACTAATTAGGATCCAGGCTTTTTATTTCCTCATCTAGGACTCAAGACTGTGTAGAAGGTCAGTCTCTGAAGGACATGGCTGATTGATGATAGTGTAAACAGAATCAAGTCTGGGAGAGTCTTTGCCCCAAGAAGAACAGACCCGTTCTCATCCTCCATTAGAATTTAGGGTGACCAGCTCATGAAGGAGAAAACCAACCAGAATGGTCTGGACATAAATGGATTCCTCTGTCCAGCTTGCTAGAGACAGCTGTGTGTCATGATCAAGCCACCTTCTCAGGAGTTGAAGACTTCCAGTCCCCCTCTTCATTAAATGTCCACCAATCAGGGTTTATTTTCACTTCCCAGGGCATCCCCTTTTACAAAGCTATTTAAAGCATTCAGTGACTCCAATGGGGGTCTCTGGTTACTGACAGAAGCCACTGAATTTATTATTAGCTAGCCTAATTAATAAATTAATTATTAATTACCCAGAAACTCTGTCTTTTGGGTTTTTTCATTCATCAAAATGTGACTAGTTACTTTATAACTAAAAGCGTGGTGTATGCACATCCTGCATATCCATAGGAATTTTAGCACCTAGGGTCAGTTTAATGGAGCTGAGGCTGGTTCTGGGAGGGGTGGCAAGGTAGGGCATTTAAGGTTTGACTATCTCTGTGCTGGGTTCTGACTGGAGACAGACCTCAGGGGAGCTGAGGAGCCTGAGGAACTGTGCAAAGGCAGGGCCTTCCAAAGGGGCAGGGGCTGAGGTGGGGAGGCAGACTGTAAGTCAGGTAGCGAATTTATCAGGCAAGAGGGAGAGTGACCTGGCGGTCCAGAGAGGACCACCACAAGGACTTTGGACAGGATGGGGTGAACTTGAAAGGATGAAGAATGGTTGCTGGGTGAGGCTGGCAAAAGGAGGATATGAAAGTAGCAGTGCAGATGAAGGAAAGGTGGCCACTCCTCTTCCCGGCCTGGGGAGTCAGAAAGGAGCTGCCAGAGAGGAGGGTCTAGTTAGTTAGGATTCAGTGAGACCCAGAAAATGGAAGGAATCTGCAAAAGAGATTGGGGATTCTAGAGTTAGCTCTGGAAGAGGCCTTGGAGGTCATCTCGTCCAACCCTTTCTTTTTCTTTCTTTCTTTCTTTTTTGTTCAGTTGTTTCAGTTGTGTCTGACTCTTAGTGACCTGATTTGGGGTTTTCTTGGCAAAGGTACTAGAGCGGTTTGCCATTTCCTTCTTCCAGACGAGGAAACCGAAGCCAGCAGAGTTAAGTGACTTGCCCTGGGTCACACAGCTAGTAAGTGTTAGAGGACAGATTTGAACTCAGGAGGATGAGTCTTTTTGACTTCAGGTCCAGTACTCTATCCATTATGGCACCTGGTCTTTTTTTTTTTTTTAACAGATGAGAAAACTGAGGCCTAGTTACATGATTCACATAAAGTCACATAGGTAGTAAGTAGCAAAATCAGAATTTGAATTCAGATCTCTGATTCTAAATCTAGTGACCTCACCACTAGACCACAACGGAGGAGGGATTTCAGTGGGTGTGGCAGAAAGCAAGGGCAGAGGAAAATAGCGATTGAGGAAGTATTAGGATTGAATTTACTATAAGCCACTGGTACGGTCAGTGGCAACTGCTTTGTGCCTGATCTCCTCCGCCCGCCCCCGGATCTCCAGGATTGTGCCACAGGTTAGGTAGCTAATTGGAGATCCAGAGCTTGGGCGGGAGGGGCCGCCCAGAGGGGCACAAAGAGCATGATGAACCCCACGGGGATGAGTGGCCTCCTTGAGGCCAAGGGAGGAAGGCAGCTGGTGGACAGCTAATGCTGGGAACCTTCCTAGAGTAGGTGGGGGAATCACACCCTCTCCCTACCCCCTCTCTCTATTTCCCCATGTCAGCATTAGGGGTACAGCCCAGTTGCCCCATGCTGATTGTGGATTTGGCTCTTACTGTGAAGGATTATTCCATGTATTTTCAGAAACTTTTTTCATGCCTTTGGCTTCCTTTCTGAAGGACAGCAAAGTCCATAGAGATGCCTGATCAGGCTGAATGAGGCCAGGGATAGTTCATTGTAACCAGAATAAACAACTAATTTCTGTCTCATTCATAAAAGTTGTAGGAAAAATGAGAAAGCAGCTCAAGGGAAAGGCACAGGTAAGAGGGTATAAGATGGCAATCACCTTTTCAATTATCCCAACGATCTTACTGAGGGATTTCCTCAAATTCCTCACTCAGCTCTGGTAAATAGAATGTTGATGAATAATTCAAAAGTTGAAGGCCAGCAGGCTGGCCCCACTAGGTGCGCCTGTCTAATACGCATAGACATTTCTAATGGGAAGGCAGAAAATGCCCAAGGACCAACTTGTCTGCCTGCCTTGGGACTTTTGGAAGTTTATGGGTGTGTGAAATAGGAGTCTTGGCAAAAAGAGGCAATATTGGAGAGAAGCCTCAGGCCTGGGCGTGGAAGGAAGTGGGAGTGACCATGAAAATGAGTCCTCTGGAGTTATCTCTTCCTTCCCAAATTTTATCTCCAGTACTACCAGATAGCTCAGCCGGCTTTCATTGGAGAAACTGAATACTTTCTGTATAGAAATGAATGAATTTTGGAGATGAGGAAACTGAGACCTAGAGACACTGAAGTACCCTGATATCGGGGTAGAGATGGGACTAGATGCAGCTTCTCCTCAGTGCTCATGTCAAGCTCTTTCCACAATGCACCAGGCTACGTGGCTCCTCAAACATTTGCTTCTCAGCTGCTTTTCCCTAGGGTCCATTCTTCCTTTATCTTCAGACTTTGACCCACAACAGGGCATCCCAAATCTCTGAGGAGCTAGCTATCTCTGTCAGCTTTCTCCCGATTAACGATGACGGCCAGGCTCGCCCTGCAACGTCTGGCTCTGTATTATTGTGTGTGGAGAGGAAAGATTACATGTGTTCCAGGCCTCCTGGAATCCAGGCTCCCCCAAGGGACCCTCCTACAAGTCCTTTGCACTGAGTAACCTCAGTTCCTTCAGCAGAGTAAGCAGGCCAGATGTTCGGCAAAGCTGAACTCCGGTTGGCTGCTCTGCATAAGGGAGCAGCTGATTCTTTCCGGAGAGATTCCCATTTCCTTCCGCCTGGATTCTGCTTCTATTTTCCTGGGCGTATAGCCTGTGCCGTACCACCCTTTCTGCCTTTCTCATTCCCCAGAGCAGCTAACAGTGTTTTAGTTAACAGTGTCAGCTAACAGTTAAGGCGAGTACTAATTCTAGTGTGGATGGATGATTCAATTCAAGTCGTTTCAGTTCAATCCAGCAACTATTTAATAAATGTCCTGGACTAGGCATTAAGGGGAATACCAAGTTGAGATACAAACTGGTGTACATATTGACCGCTTGGCATTTCCTCTCTGATTCAGGCTTTGCTGGGGGAGGGAGAGATTCCTGTCCCCTCTCCCTGCTCTGCTAGCTTCCCACCCCACCCCAGAACATCTTGCCAGTACACTGCCTACCGTGGGTCTCTTCCAGACGACGCCTTGAGTTTTGCTCGAATGCGGTCCCAGTTCCTTGAACCCCAGGGAAGATCCAATGGCCGGGAAGGAAGGGTCCTGGAAGAGCTTGCCTTCTTCCAGGCATTCGCCGAGAAGCGCCTCGTAGTCCTGGTTGAGGTATTTGACCGCCTGCTCGTGAGTGCCCAGGCCGGCCGCCGTCTCCCGATCTTTCACCACTTTGGCTGCGATGCCCGACATGGCTCCGGTCCTGGGGGGCTGCCACGGCCTGGGAAACGGGGCTCAGAGGGCGCGACGGAAGCGCAGGAGGAGAGGGAGGCTGCAGGCGGGAGCAGCAGGAGTACAGCACGGGCGCTCGGAGCTGGAGCTGCTAGCTGGCGTGCGGACGGGGTGATTCACCCGGGGAGGGAGGAACCGCACCGGCTCCCCCGCCGCAGAGGGCTGGGTGTGGCTTCGTCTCCTAACTCTGTACCGCTTTACAGCCGGACTCTGGGCCGAAGGCTTCGGGGGAGGAGCCAAGGCCCCCGGACGGACGTCTGCTGCCCTCTGCGGGCGGTGCGGCCACGCGCGCGCGCACAGAGCCCCTCTGCTCTCGCAAAGCCTGCTCCCCATCCCTTGCGAAGTGGCTGCCCACCCCCCCCCCGACTCCCCGCCGGAGGCTGCGGACTTCGGAGGGGCCCCCTGGGGTCTCTGCACCGAGCCGGGAGAGGCTGACGCAGGGGCTGGAGCTCTGGAGCAGGACAAGGAAAGACCCAAGTTCAAATCCTATTGGCTGTGTGACCGGGACAAATTGCTCAATTTCTTTCAGGCTCAGTTTCTTCGTCCATAAAGTGAGAATAATAATAACACTAACTTCTCAGGGATATCGTGAGGATGCATTGAGATAATATTTGGAAAGCGTTTTGCACACCTTAAAATGTTATTATGTAAATGCTTGCTATTATTATTATTAAGATAATACATATCTGAGGCAGGGGTTCTTCACTTGGGATCCATGAATTTGAATGTGTGTGTGTGTACACATACATATATACGTACATAAATTTAGAAATGAATATAATATATAAATACATATGAAAAATATATGCATATTTCAACATAATTAGTTTCCTTTGTAATCCTATGTATTTTATTTTATGCATTGAAAACCTTGATTCTGAGAAAGGAGTCCGAAGGATGCAAGGCTGTGCTGGAGCCAGCTCCAGGGGTCTTCTGTTAGATTTTCATTATGAGCATTTAGACTTCAGAAATGGGGAAATCTACAAATCATGGCTTGATTGATTGTTTTGTTGATTTCTAGACTTAAGAAAGTGATGGAGAAAATATTAATGGAGATTAAATTATGCTTAGTCCCCTCCCCTCCCCCCAGTCCGTTATTAAACATTTAGTAGCACAGCCCTGGTGTCATGACACAAAATGAGATTAAAAACTCCTGCTTTAAGATTTGCAAAGTGTGGGGCAGTTAGGTGACTCCGGATAGAATACCCTTTCTAGAGTCAGGAGGACCTGAGTTCAAATCAGGCCTCAGATAGCTGACACTAGCTGTGTGACCCTGGGCAAGTCACTTAACCCCAATTGCCTTGCCAAAAAAAAAAAAAAGATTTGCAAAGTGCTTTGAATATGTGATCTCCTTGATGGTTAATAGTGCTGGATTTGGAGGGAAGAAGACCTAGGTTTCAATGTTGCCAGACAGTGCTACTGAATGGCTGTGTGGGCTTTCATTTGAGAGACAAAATACTTTTTTAAGGAACCAGAATAAGGTTAATTGTATTTTACAAACCAGGAAAGCAAAATCCCAGAGATGAAGTGAAATGTCCAAGGTCACACAGCTAGGGGCTAAATCTGGCATCTCCTCCCTTCAAGTGCTAAGCTGTCTGTCTACGGCATGGGACTGCACTGCGACTGCACTGCTCCATAAGCATTTGCCTCTAGGCTTCAATATTGTGGATACATACAGGCCTGGACATGGGAGCAAGCGGACTGATGTTCAAATCCCACAGCAGAAACTAGCTTGTGTGACCCTGGGCAAGTCACTCCGTCTTTCTCAGCCTCAGTTTCCTCATCTGTAAAATGAACCTCTAAGATCCTTCCCACCTCTAAATCTATAAGTCTATTTGAGTCTCACAATGACCTTGTAAGTAAGGTGCTGTTTTTACCCCCATTTTACAGATGAAGAAACCAAGTCACAGAGAAGTTTAGTGACTTGCCTAGGGTCCCATGGCCCATAAATGTCTGAGGTGGGATTTCAATTCAGGTTTTCCTGATTCGAAGTCCAGCCTTCTATGAACTCCAATGGTCTCTGGCTCTAGTGTTCTACTCTTTGTGATGCTCTCACATGTTTGGTGCTAGGGAATGAGTGCTGGCTTTTAAGTCAGAAATCCTGGATTTGAATCCTGGTTCACACCTTATTATCTACATCATAGGATCACAGATTTAGATCTAGGAAGGACCTTTGAGGTCATCTAGTCCAGAGGTATCAAAAATACTGCCTGGGGGCAGCTAGGTGGCACAGTGGATAGAGCTCCAGCCCTGGAATCAGGAGGACTTGAGTTCAAATGTGGCCTCAGACACTTGACACTTAATAGCTGTGTGACCCTGGGCAGGTCATTTAGCCCCATTGCCTAGCAAAAAACAAAAGAAAATGAAAAATACTGCATGAATCATGTTAAAATTTAATTGGGAAATATTTAGCAAAAGAAATTAAAATACAATAAAACAGAGATACCCGTACATTTTGAAACTGGGTTAAGGTGCAGCGCACGAGTATATTTATGTAAGTGGCCTTCCTTTATATTTGAGTTTGACACCACCAAAGTAGTCCAGCCTCCTCATTTTACAGGTGAGGAAACTGAGGCCCAAAGAGATGAAATGACATGCTCCAGTCACCCAGCTAAAGTATCAGATGCAGAATTTGAGCCCAGGTCTTCCTAACTCCAACACCAGCATTCTCTCTGCTTCACTAATGATTCCCAACTTTCTTTGTTATTCTCTGACCCTCTTTCAACAAAAAAAATAAACATATTGTGAACCCCTAGGGTAATTTAATATACTGCTCATAATATTCTTCTAGACATTCATTAAATGTCAATAATAAAGACAATGATAACTTTTGCCCAAGAAACCTCATGATGTGTCCAAATTGCTAGAAAAACAAACTTAAAATTCTTCAGACGTGCACATGCTTGTTGTCATAGAGGAAAATTTTATTTGAACACAATTGAGCAATTATTTATTGCTTAAGGCGGCACTAAAGAATTTTTTAACATGAACACCTTGGGGTCAGGTTTGGGAACCACTGAGAACTACTGTGCTACGTACAGCCAGTCTTTTCAACTGACCTTAAGCAAGTCAACTCACCATTCTGAAACTCAAGCTTCTTCATCTGTAATAAAGTTCGACTAGAAGTCCTCTAAGGTCCTTTCCAGCTGGAAATCTGTGAATGAATAGACTTCTGCCCTCTACTACCTCCATTAATCCTTGTCCTGGACATACACTGTTTACAAGGCCAGAGGAAAGATTCCCCATGAGTTTGTCCTGCCAGGTCAGATTTGGCCATGACTTTTGACTATTAAACAGGCTTAGTGTATCAGACACAAATTGTCTTCTTCTCTGTCCTTCCCCCACAATGAACATGCTCCTTATTTGAGGGCTATGCCTCATTTCAGGAGTCCAGAAATTACTGTTCTTGTCTGTAGCTAAAGGAAGCTAACTATTGTTAAAGGACTGTGGGGGGAAAAAACAGGCAAATAATACCAGCCAGTTATAAATAAACCAGGGTTGGAGACTTCACTCAAAAGAGCTCATCCTATGATGAGACTGGCATCAACCATGACTTCTATGTCAGTGACTCGCAAACTGAGATCTTCTCTAAGGTCCCTTCTAGCAAAATAATGACCTTTCTTCTTGCAAGGCAATCGGGGTTAAGACACTTGCCCAGGATCACACAGCTAGTGTCAAGTGTTTGAGGTCAGATTTGAACTCGGGTCCTCTTGACTCCAGGGCTGATGGCTCTATCTACTGTGCCACCTAGCTGCCCTGAAAATGATCTTTCTTTTCTCAGAACTTTCATAGTGTTTTATATTTCTCTTACGCCCTGATCATATTCTATTTTGTAGACTAGTTAGTGCATAATGAATGAATATTTGTGTATATTCTTTCTTCCTTTAGATCATAAATTCCACAAAGTCAGGAACTATATTTTAATCATATTTAATCTAAATATTTGTTGAATGAATGAGTGAATGAAGTGGTAGAACCTGCCCCAGTATATCTGGCTTTCCCCTTCACTCTGTTTGATATGGGTGGCATTTAATCACATCTTGGTCACAGGTTTCATGGTAAAGGCAGTGACATTCCCAAGTATTTGAGGGGAGAATGGTACAGATGACATGAAAGGAATATGGATGAGGTACAGCTGAAAGTGCTCCGGATTGAGACATGGGTTCAAATCCTGGCGCTGCCGTGTACTACCCTTGTAACTTTGAGCAAGCCACTTAGCCTCAATGTGCTTCAGTTTCCTCTTCCATAACATGAGGGAGAGGGGAAGATTAGATAGACAGAGGCAGAAGGAAGGAAAAGATGCATTGATTAACTCCAGTTAGGATGCCACCTCTTCCAGGAAGTCTTCCCTGATTCCTCACTTAATAATGTCCTTTTCTCCCTAATCTTTCACATGGCACTTTGCATCTGCCTTACGTACTTCTCATGTATTCTTTGTACTTTATTTATTTATTAATGTTATATTCCTCTGCTCTATGAGGGCATTTTGTATTCCTCCCCTCCACCCCCAGGTGCCCCCTTCCCCCATCTCCTAGGACCTAATACAGTGTTCTGCACATGCTTGACAATTAATGAATGTTTGTGAAATTTAATCTAGTTTACCATTTCAGTTACTTTTCTCTTCACTGCTCTACCCCCTCCCCCACTTCAGCTCCCTTTTGTGTTCTCTTCCCTCATTAGTATGTAAGGTCCTGGTCACCAGGAGCTGTCTTTCTTTTTGTTGGTATTTGAATCCCCAGTGCTTAGCCCAGCATCTGGCACGTAGTAAATGCTTGTTTGCTTCCTCCCTCCCTCCCTTCCATCCTTCCTTCCTTTCTTCCTCCCTCCCTTCCTTCCTTCCCTCCCTCCTTTCTTCCTTCCTTCCTTCCTTCCTGCTTGCCTTCCTCCCTCCCTCCCTTCCTTCCTCCTTCCCTCTCTCCCTTCCTTCCTCCCTTCCTTCCTCCCTCCCTTCCTTCTTTCCTTTCTCCTTTCCTCCCTCCCTCCCCCAATTGAGCCTCAATTTCTTCATCTATCATAAAATGAACCATCCATTCCATCATACAATGAACGGAGGTTAAATTAGATTAGATGATCTCTGAAGTCCCTTCAGCTCTAAAATCTATGATTCCCCACCTCTTAATCTATGGAACACAAAATCACGAATGATT